TTGGACCCAAAGAGGAACACACCAAGGCACATCATCATTAAGTTACCCAAGATTAAATATAAAGAGAGAATCCTAAAAGAAGCTAGAGGAAAGGAGAGAGTTACCTACAAAGCAGTGCCCGTAAGGCTATCAGCTGATTTCTCAAAAGAAACCTTGCAGGCAAGAAGGGGCTGGAAAGAAGTATTCAAAGTCATGAAAAGCAAGGACCTACACCCAAGATTACTCTATCCAGCAATTCATTTAGAATGGAAGGGCAGATAAGGTGCTTCCCAGATAAGGTCAAGTTAAAAGAGTTCATCATCACCAAGCCCTTATTGTATGAAACATTAAAGGGACTTATCTAAGAAAAAGAAGATAAAAAATATGAACAGTAATATGAACAGTAAAAAATATGAACAACAAACTCACAACTATTAACAAATGAACCTAAAAGAAAAGAAAACAATGAAAACAAAAACTAAGCAAACCACCAGAACAGGAACAGAATCAGAGAAATGGACATCACGCAGAGGGAGTTCAATGGAGAGGGGGAAGGGAGGAATAGGGGAGAAAAGGTACAGGGAAAAAGAAGCATAATTAGTAGGTATAAAATAGAGGGGGAAAGATAAACAATGGTATAGGAAACAGAAGACTCAAAGAACTTACACGTACAACCCATGGACATGAACTAAAGGGGAGAGGAATGCTGGAGGGTTGCGGGGACAGGGTGGAGGGGGAATAGAGGGGGAAAAATTGGGAAAACTATAATAGCATAATCAATAAAAATACTTTAAAAAGCTGTGGTACATTTACACAATGGAATACTACTTGGTCATAAAAAAGAAGAAAATCATACCTTTTGTGACAGCATGTTTGGACATGGAGAATATTATGCAAGTGAGATAAGCCAGTCAGAGAAAGACAACTATTATATGATTTCACTCATATGTGGAATCTAATGAACAAAATAAGCTAACAAACAAAATAGAAACTGATTCAATGATTAAAATAAAATAAAATTTTTAAAAAAACTAAAAAAAATAGAAACAGACTCAAAGCTACAGAGAACAGACTGACAGTTGTTAGAGGGGAGAGGGGTTTGGGGGCTGGGTAAAAATGGTGCAGGGATTAAGCGAAAAAAAAAAAAAAAAGCAAAAGAAAAGAAAACCACCTTGTAGAGACAAACAGCAGTACATTGACTACCAGAGGGAAATGGGGTTAGGGAAAGGGAGAAGAGGATTAAGGGGGAAAAATGGTGACAGAGGAGACTTAACTTTGGGTGGAGAATACACAGTACAATATACAGATGATAGTTTATAGAATTGTACACCTGAAACTTATATAATTTTATTAACCAATATCACCCCAATAAATTCAGTAAAAATTTTTTCTTAAAAAAATTAATCTCACCCTGGCTCATGTGGCTCAGTGGATTGAGTGCCAGCCTGTGAACCAAAGGGTTTCCGGTTCGATTCCTAGTCTACGGCACATGCCTGGGTTGTGAGCCAGGTCCCCAGTACAGGGCATGCAAGAGGCTACCACACAACGATGTTTCTCGCCATCTCTTTCTCCTACCCTTCCCCTCTCTCTAAAAATAAATAAATCTTTTAAAAAAATCTCTAAGATGATTTTCACATTCTTTTGTAAGTTGTACAAAATGACAGTGTTGTGTTCTTTCTCCCCAGAGAGCATTATTAAACCACCCTCCCAAAAGCACTCAAGCTAATGAGGTAACAAAAGCCCAGAGGACTAAAATTAAGCAAAGCAAGTTAATACTTGAAATTTAACTCTTAGAGCCCCAACTTGAGGAAAATAAAGAATAAGGAAAGAAATTAGAATGAGAAAAAAAGATAGCATTATTAAAGTATTTTTTGTTACATATTTAGCTTTTTAAAAATCCTTACCCAAGGACATGTTTTTAGTGAGGTTTTTTGTTTGTTTGTTTTTTGCAGAGAAGAGAGCAAGCAATTGAGCAAAACATTGATGTGAGATAGAAACATCAATTGGCTGCCTCCTCTGTGTACCCCAACTGGGGATAGAATCTGCAATGGAGGTATGTGCCCTGACCAGGAATCGAACATGCAACCTTTTGGTGCATAGGGCAATGCTCCAACCAACTGAACCACCTGGCCAGGGCTGGAAGTTGTACCTTTTCACCACTTCTATTCAATTCCCCTACTCCCCATTTTTTCCTTTTTGTAACATCTAAGGCTTTGGGGTCTTTGGCAAGTTCTAAAATGAGTGGATAGACATTGGCATAAGCAATTGTAGCAATGATCATCAATGGTAGATAACTGCACAAAAGATCATTAAACATCATATACTTCCTAATGGAAATGCACACCATGATCTATGAAGTATTCTTGCTACAAACATCGTATTTCAACCTGATCAGGCCTAGATCTAACTGCTAATCTACAGGAAACATAGAGAACAGGGGGACACATTAAATGACAAAATTCAGAGTGGGATACACAGGACAAAAGATCAGTCTCTTGAACAACAGTATTGCAGGGAACAAAAAGACATATTAAAAAGAAACTTAAGAGATTTATTAACCAAATGCGATGTTTGGATCCTGATTCAAATAAAATATATAAAATGAGTATTTTTTTTAGTATCAAGAAAAGATATAACTGTTTTTCCCTTTTCTTGCTATCATGATACTATAAATCCATGAGTAGAAAGTAGTTTCCAAACAAGGCTAAAACCTCATTTGTATTTTACTTCAATATACACGTTGAAAGAGAAAAAACAAAACAAAAGGCTAAGTCTTCCACTGCCTACTCCCAGAGGCAAATTCTATTACCATTTTTTTACATTACCATGTTTTCAGAGTTAGAGATAAGCATGCATATTATTCTTTGACTTTTGGCAGTTATATACCACATTTTGTTATTTTTCTTTTCAATTTTTACTCTCCTCTTACTGTATATAATGTCATATACACTAAAGAAATCTTTCAGTTGTCACCTTGATGGCTTTCTAAAAAAAAAGGTGATTTTGCATGATTATTTGAAACTGCCAGTGTCTTCCAAGTTTGGATCTGTGTTTATCAATTGCTGTCTTCAAAAAGTAGTTCACACATTATTTCTAACAAAATAATATTCAAATCACTTTGTATCTCATTTTAATAAACGTGTTTAAAGTTAAAAGTTCTGTAGGAATATTCTGTCCTCTGACACTGTCATTAGAAAAACTTAGTTTCACGTGCAAAAAAATGAAACTTGAGCACCAACTTACACCACATACAAAAATAAATTCAAGGTGGATAAAAGACTTAAATATAAAACATGACACCATTAAAGTCCTAGAGGAGAACGTAGGTAGGAAAATCTCAGATATTTCACGAAGAAACTTTTTTACTGATGTGTCCCCTAGAGCAAGGGACATAAAGGAAAGAATAAACAAATGGGACCTCATCAAAATTAAAAGCTTCTGCACAGCTAAAGAAAACAGTATCAAAATTAAAAGAGAACCAACTGTATGGGAAAACATATTTGCCAATGACACCTCAGACAAGGGTTTAATATCCAAAATATATAGAGAACTTACACGACTGCACTCTAAGAAGACAAGGAATCCAATTAAAAAGTGGGCAAAGGACTTGAACAGACACTTCTCCAAGGAGGACATACAGAAAATCCAAAGACACATGAAATGATGTTCAATATCACTAGCTATCAGAGAGATGCAAATTAAAACCACAATGAGATACCACTTCACACCAGTCAGAATGGCCATCATAAACAAAGCAACAAACAACAAGTGTTGGAGAGGTTGTGGAGAAAGGGAACCCTAGTGCACTGCTGGTGGGACTGCAGACTGGTACAACCACTATGGAACGCAGTATGGAACTTCCTCAGAAAACTAAAAATGGATCTGCCTTTTGACCCTGCAATTCCACTGCTGGGACTCTATCCTAAGAATACTAAAACACCAATTCAAAAGAACCTATGCATCCCAATGTTCATAGCAGTACAATTTACAATAGCTAGATGCTGGAAGCAATCAAGATGCCCATCAGTAAATGAATGGATCAAAAAACTATGGTACATTTACACAATGAAATTCTATGCAGCAGAAAGAAAGAAGGAGCTCCTACCCTTTGCAACAGCGTGGATGGAGCTGGAAAACATTATGCTAAGCGAAACAAGCCAGGCAGTGAAAGACAAATACCATATGATCTCACCTTTAACAGGAACCTAAATAACAAAACAAAGAAACAAACAAAATATAACCAAAGACACTGAAATAGAGGATAGGCTGATGGTGACCGGAGGGGAGAGAAGAGGGAATTTAAGGGGACAGTGGGAAGGGTTCACAGGAACAAACTTAAAGGACACATGGTCATAGACTAAGGGGAGGGTGGTAATGGGAGGGAAGTGGGGAGGGTGGGAGGGGGGACTGGATTGGGAGTAAAAAGGAGAAAACTGTATTTGAACAATGATTAAAAAATTTTAAAAAAGTAAAAAAAAAAAAAAGAAAAACTTAGTTTGCAAAGGGGTTTTCTATACACCTAATCCTTCCTACAGCTATCCTAGATAGATACTATTCCTATTTTTAAAGAAAAGAAAACTGAAGATTGCTCCTAAAAGCAAGTCCTACAACTCCCCCCAAAACACTGAGAAGGGGAAGAATAAGGAGCAAATCCTTCAAAGCAGGTCTTGCTTTGAATTTAAAATTACAATCTGTGGATTGTGTTTCACAAGTTCTCAATACATTGGAAATGAATTTTTTTTTTAAGAGAGAGGGAAAGGGAAGGAGAAAGGAAGGAGGGAGGGAAACATCAATGTGTGGTTGCCTCTTGCACACCCCCTAGTGGGAACCTGGCCCGCAACCCAAGCATATGCCCTGACTGGGAGCTGAACCAATGACCCTTTAGTTCACAGGCCCGCGCTCATACCACTGAGGTACGAGGTACATCAGCCAGGGTGAAAGGAAATGTTTTTAATTCCATGTGTACTCATTATGAAGTAATTATAAGTATAATTTAAAAACATAATCATCTATCTGCTCATCCAAACCTTTATTAAGCACTTCCCATATACACAGTCCTAGGTAAAATATTAAAGGAATACAAAGATGAATTTTAAAGTGGTGCCAACTCTCAAGGAGTTTACAATCTAAGGATAGTGACAAATGGTTTAACACCAACTATAGTAAAGGAATTACAAGTAAACATTTGCCCCTGATTGGAAACATCACTTTATTTCTTCATTTAAAGCACAGACTCCCAGTTGAGAAACAATGCTATTACATACACCTTTATTAGTTCATGCTCTTTAAAGGAAGTTGATTGCTTTCATAAAATAGAATGTCTCACCCTGTCACATCTTTATGACTCATTTGAATTCTTATAACAGAAAATTTGCTTAAAGAGGAAAAAAATAGATTCATAAAATCAAATTAACATCATACACAGAAAGACAAAGTATGTCTGCAATAATATGTAAAAAGGTGAACACCACTGGGTCTAGTAGTAAAGAAGTAAGTCTGGGTTACTTTGGCAATTTGCCATGGACAAGTTATTATACACAATTTCATCACATTTAAAGCAGGGTTGATATTTATTAAAATTATGATTCAGATGCTATAATTATCTTCATCTGTCATAATACGCAGTTTAAAAAATGAGTATAAAAACTTTTCTAATAATTCCTATATCAAAAATAATTTGGAATAAAACTAAAGATAAAAAGTTAGTGTGGATAATTTAATAGTAAACTATTCAGTGTAGAAGTAAATGTAAATTTGCAAGTAATATCTATTTTTTCTATATTTTATTACTTTTTAAAAATGGCCCAGATAAGAAACTTAACTAGTAAAATAAGTTTGAGGATTAATTTTTTGAGACGTGTTGTAGAGAAAAGGAATGGGCAAATAGTGTAATTTTCAAATATTTGATTCACACTTTCCAGAAAAATTTTTTCAAACATCAGTAAAGACCCATACTTCCTCTCTGCTCTCAGTGCTAAGCCATTTTTTCTAGCAAAAAATGACATGATGTATATTTTTATAACTAATCTGTCTGTGACAGCGTGATTCTCAAACATTTTTTAAAAATAAAAGTAACCTCAAAGTTGCAAACCGACCACATGTAGCAATTTTAAAAACTGAATAGGCAAAGCCTTACTCTGCCCAAATGACCAATCAGCTGGATTTGGACTTGGCTCAAGAGCCCTGCACACATCAGAGGAGGTCCCATCCGTGTTCCTGACACAAGCAAGGCTGCCAACACTGGGTGCTGCAAACCACAGCACAGGCACAGAGAGGAGGCCCTGCCGATTGTTTTATTCTTCAACAGATTTCTTTTCTCCACTCTCTTCCCTGGCTTCATCTTTTTCCATGCAAGAATCTTGGCTGTTGGTTTCAGTAAAATAATTTTCTTCCCCATCCTCTCTTTCTTCTACATTTTCTTCTTCATTAAAGCTAGAGGAAGAAATTTATCAATCTTTCAAAGGAAAAATGATTTGGTTTAAAGGTAAATAAACCCTTTTCAATGTAGGTCATTGTGAAGTCAGTCTTCCTCAAGTGTATGGGCTCCAATTTATCAAGAAAACTCTATAAAAGTACCAATTGAGAAAGTACGTATTTCTCTGAGAACTAATTTATTTCAAAACTTGGTTGGCTCTTTAAACTTCATTTGAAAGCTTATTATTATTTTCATTATTTATTCCAGTCGGAAGCTTAAATTATTGTGCCTTAAAAACAGGTATTTCATCACAGAGTAATATTTTGAATGTGTCAAACATATTAAAATATCAGTATGTATTACAACAGTTTACAAGTATTTCATTAGGTAATAAAAACCTTTTAAAATTATTAATATTATAGAACAGAATTTTTGCTTTCCTGCAGGTATAAATTTTTGCAGAGGTCTATATACACCATTCAGACATCTTATGTATGTTACCTTTCTTTATCTTCAGTGAAACTTTTCATCTCTTGATTGCTGAAGGGCTCAAATATTTTTCCACTTTGGCCTTTCTTTGAAACAAATTCATCAGATATTCCTAGTGCTTTTAGGGTGTTAGAATAATGCTTTTCTGCTGCCATTCTTGCATTTTTCTATAGAAAAGACAAACCTTTTTAGATGAGAACAAGACTTCAAATTTCCATTCAAAATGTATGGGTTAAAATTAAATTCAATAATCAGTTCGTTGAAAATATGCATACCCTCCGACCAGCTCCTATGTACATACCCAGAGAAATTCCTACATGTGACCTGGGAGAAAAGTATAAAAATGTCCAGAATAGTACTGTTTGTAACAACTCAAATATCTATCAACAGTAGAATGGATAAATAAATTGCAGTCTATTCATACAATAGAGTAAAATAAAGCAATGAAAATGAATGAACTCACCATAACATGGATGGATCTCACAAACAATACTGAGCAAAAGAAGCAAAATACAAAAGAATGTGTGTATTCATTTCATTTACAAAAAACCCCACAAAAACCCAAACAGGTAAAACTAAACCATATTGTTTAGGGATAGATCATAGGCGGTAAAATTGCAAAGAAAAACAAGGAAATGCCTCAAAAGTTAGAATGGGGAGAGGGGGAGGCACACAGCCCTGGGTGGTAGCAATGCCATTTGTTAACTTGGCTGGTGGCCACATGAGTTTTAATCTACAGTTATTTTTTACACTATACCTGTTTTTATACACTTTTATAACGGCTTATGGATATCTGGAAAAATCAGTAAGAAAATAAGTTCACGTGATAGTTGTCAGAAAGTTCTTTTATTTTATGTGCCTACTGTAATTTCTGCTTTTTATTAAGTAATATCTCTACTCCATCAAAGATAATAAAATCATCAGTGTTGTTATCTTTACTCTGTGGAGGAAGCAATGGTTTCAACAAAAAAAAACCTGACTTTAGAACTGGGTTCACATCTCTAGAATGTTACTTCCTGGCTTTGGGACCTGTGGAAGTTATGATGACCCTCTCATGTCTGAAGTCAGTCAGAAGTTGTCATGGTTCCTGAGGCCACAGGCTTTACAGAGCCACAAGATGATTGGGGGTCACACTAGTGCCTTGGCTTTAGTCCACTTTTAGCTATGGGTAGATATGAACTAGTATAGGGCCAAGAATTGCCATCTGGACCTCCAACTAAAGCACAGTGCCTAGGAATGGCCCAGTTCCATTGGCATCCCATACTGGAAAGGGTATGGGAGAACAGCCAGTCTTACCCCCAAATTTAACAAATAAGAAAACCAAGATGTTCCTGCCAACCCCACTGAGGTTAAGTGGTTTGTTTAAGGTCACAAGAATGGTAAGTGGTAAAACCAAGTCTCTTGATCCTTTCCTGGGTCAAGCACCATGCTGCTTTTATCTAAGTGGTAGCAGTCATCCTGGAGTTTGAAGGTAGCCTAAAGCCTAACTTCAGCAATGCAGGTGTCAGACATGTGCCCAGTCCAGGGACTCCAGTGTAATGAGGGACCATGGAGTCTAGTGTTCCATGAGAAAAATGAAAAGAGCAAAGACTGATTACAACAGGTAAAACTATCAGCAGTGCATTTTCTGACACTGTGGAAAACTAAAAAAAGAAACAAAACCCAAGCACTTTTAACTGCTGCTAAAATGCACCCACTGTGAATAACAACACTTTTTAGAAAAGAAAGTAAAAAAGCATCCAGATGCTACGAATGCCAACAGACAAGCCTTGAGGGAACTGGAAGGAATGGCAAAGTAAGATGAGAACTATGCCCCAAAGACCATGAAGTACAATAAACTCCCAAGTTAACTCTGAATGCATTAAGAATAGTATACTCTGATTTAAGCTAATTAAATATAAAAGATTAAAATACTAATCAAAGTTAGTGCTGGTAAACCTTCACCTGAATTTGGTTTAAAATCTGATTTAACACCTACTCAGTTAATAAACCCTGTAATTTCCAAGAAACAGGACAGCACGGTTGCTCCGTGCTGGATCGTAGGCTCCGTGCTGGATCTCTGTCAGGTGGTAACTCTGCAGCAGCGAGGCCACAATGAAGACTTACAAATGGGTAATGCATGAAGTTTTAGTGAATTTATTACATAACAGTTCTTAATTAGCACCAGTAGTTGCAGCAAAATAGAATGCAAGAAAAATGAATTGATTCCTGTTAACAAAACCAAAGCAATGGTGGTCACTGCCAGTGGTTCAGTACACAGAATTAATTGCCTTTTAATATTTTACATCAAGGTGGAGAGTGTGTAATTGTTCCCAATTGGAACAAATATTTCCCCCTTGCATTTCACCATGCAAAAGAATTATAAAGGATATGAGATAAAAGGAACAGTTAAAATAACTCAACAATTATTTATTTTACTATCAAACACGGTTAAAAAAAAAAAAGCTGTTTCTTCAGGAAACCAAAACAAGTGATGAAAGCTTGTCTCCTATCAGCACTTTAAATTGAAGGGAAAAAATACTTACTTTTTTATAACGGTAAGTTTAGTTTATAGTAAATCTTTCCTTTATTTAATAATTACATAATACTTATTTTCTTGACAAGCCCTCAGGCATAAGGGGGTATACAGGAAAAGCATTTTGGGCAAAGGGAATAGCACATGTGAGGGCCAAAGATGGTAGAAGAAATATCAGCTATAAAACTTACCTATTTAAAATTTCTTTATGGGTTTAATTTCACCCACACCTCTTATTTTGCTACATTTTCTCCGGAGCTTAGAAACAGTAGTTCATAGCATGGCAAAACTGCTTGTTAATGCTGAGACTCATCACTAATGTGTCAGGGTAGCACTGTCAGCCTAGGCTAGTACCAGAAAGTAAGTGACAGTTCATTACCTGGCTAATTTGATCACAACAGTTCAGTTTTGGTTCAAAAAATGTTTATTGATGTCTCCCCTGTACCAGATGTTATCCTAGGTGCTAGGTGCTGGGAATATAAAGATCTGACCACCACCTTTAAAAGTAACTAGCTGGGGCCCTGGCTGGTATAGCTCAGAGGGTTGAGCATGGCCCTGCAAACCAAAGTGTCACTGGTTCAACTCCCAGTCAGGTCACATGCCTGGGTTGCAGGCCAGATCCCCAGTAGGGCTGCACTAGAAGCAACCACACATTGATGTTTCACTCCCCCTCTTTCTCCCTCCCTTCCCTTCTCTTAAAAAAAAAGAGTAACTACCTGGGCCCTGGCCAGTGTAGCCCATTTGGTTGGAGCGCTGTGCAATAGACCCAAAGATCATAGGTTCGATTCCCTGTCTGGGCATATGCCCGGGCTGTGGGTTCGACACCTGGCTGGGGCAAGTACCAGAAGGCAACTGATTGATGTTGTCTCACATCTCTCTCTCTCTCTCTCTCTCTCTCTCTCTCTCTCTCTCTCTCTCTCTCATTCTCTCCCTCTCTAAAAAGCAAGTAGGAAAAAAATGTCTTTGGGTGAGGATTAAAAAAAAAACAGTAAAAGTAACTAGCTGGAAGAAAAGAGAGATCATTATAATTTCCATACAGTGTGGTTGGAGCTAAAAGAGAGGTATGCAAAGAGTAATAAAGGAACACAGAGGAAAGGGCACCCAACCCAAGCAGAGGAAACAACGCAAGAAGTGGTTTTACACTAAGACTTGAAAGAGTAGGAGGAAAGATAGGAAGAGGCTCTATGAGTGAAACAACATGAATAAAGATTTCAAGTTTGAAACTAGTGGTTTGGTATGACCTGAGAGTAAAGGGTGTATGTAGAGCAAAGGGTGTATGGGGACCGCAGTGGTGGATGAACTAAAGAGTTTAACAGGAATCAGATCATAGAGGACTTTGTGTATAATGCTAAGGTTCGTGGAGTTATCCTCTAGGAGAAAGAAGAACAGCTCAGTTGTGTTTGGAAGCAGAATGACTTGGGTTCCAATCCTAGTTCCATTACTTAATAACTATAAATCTTATGAATTACTTACCTTCTTTGAACTTAAGTTTCTTCCTCTACAATATACAAGAGGAATAACAACGTTGAAGTATTTTTTGGAGAAGTCAATGACATGACCTCTTGGTACCATTAATTGAAAGTGAGAAGAGTCCTGGCTGGTATGGCTCAGTGGATTGAGCACTGGACTGCAAAGCAAAGGGTCACAGGTTCGATTCCCAGTCAGGGCACATGCCTGGGTTGTGGGCCAGGTCCCCTGTAGGGGGCATGTGAGAGGCAATCACACATTGATGTTTCTCTTCCTCTCTTTCTCCCTCCCTTCCCCTCTCTAAAATAAATAAAATCTTTTAAAAAAAATGAGAATGAATGGTTCTGTGAAGTCATGATTACCACTGTTATCAAGGGTTAGTAACTACCTACCCAGGGTTAACATTTTTATAAGGGAATGGGAATGGCAACATAAAGATATAATGCATAGCTTTGCAAAGAACAGGACAGGAAAACCAGTGAAACCACTATATTAACTCAGCTAGGAAATAACAGAGGTTTTACCTAGCATTTCTCTGTCAGTAGTGGAGAAAGTCAGATCCAAAAATAATTTAAGAAGAAAATTTGTCAGTTCTCTCAGTGACAACTGAATGGGGAAGAAAACTGGTTCTCAAGTTATCTAAATTGTGGCCCAACCAAAAAAGGAAGTAAAAAAGGAGAATCTAGTTTGGGGCAAAATAAATGTAAAATGCCAGTGGGAATTCTAGACTGATAGATACATCCACCACACAAGAGGACATGAAAACTTGCAGTTGGGAGCTGCAGGTAACTGTTTTGAGCCAAAGTCAATCACTTTATGCTGAGTAATGTAAAAGAGCTTATGATGTTCCCCCCTAAAGTTGAAACTGAGATATTAAAAGAAACCTACCCCTTAATGACAAGCACTACATAAAATTATATCCAAATCAGTAAGTAAGGGGTTCCATAACTTTGAGAGATTATAGTATGTAGATTCACCCATAATACATGTCCCTAGTCCTCAATGAGTCATTGATAAAGACAGTCTTATAATGACATCTGTCCCAGGTACATGCTGGCAGGAAGCTCCAAATGTAACAGCCTGAAATTCACAATACAGCACCTATAACCTTCAGTGATTCTATCTATTGTTAAGCTATGTCACCTACCGGAACCTCTCCCCATTAGGTACTAAGGAGAAGATGATCTGAAATTGACAAGTCTCTCTTAAGGGAAAGATTGTAAAACTGAGTGCAAATTTAGTGTTTTCCATAAAAATTGAATCCTTTGAATAATTGTTGGTAAGGTTGAAAATTATAGACTCGCTTAAAAAAACTGATCAACAAAATGAAAAGACAACCAACTGAATGGGAAAAAATATTTGCAAATCATATATCTGATAAGTGGCTAATATCCAAAATATATAAAGTACTCATACAGGTCAATAGCAAAAAACAAATAATACAATTTAAAAGCTGGAAAAAGACTGAATAGACATTCAGATATTTTCCTGAAAGATACTGACATAACCAACAGGTACATGGAAAGGTGCTCAATGTGACTAATAATTGGGAATGTAAATCATTAGGTGACGTCTCACAATGAGATATTTTACACTGGTTAAAATGGCTATTATCAAAAAGACAAGAGATAAATGCCGGTGAGGATGTGGAGAAAATGGAACCCTTGTGAACTTTTGGTAGAAATGTAAATTAGTACATCCTCTATAGTAAATAGTGTGGAGAGTCCTTGAAAAATTAAAAATAGAACTATATGATCCAGCAATTTGACTTCTGGGTATATATCTGAAGAAAAAATTACTATCTTGAAGAGGTATCTGCACCCCACCTTCATTACAGCATTATTGACAATAACCAAGAAAGAAAACAACCTAAGAGTACATTGAAAGACGAATGGATAAAGAGAATGTGGTCTATATTCACAATGGAATAATATTCCTCCATAAAAACAAAGAAATTCTGCCATTTGCAACAAAATGCGTGGACTTTGAAGGTATTATATTAAGTGCAATAAGCCAGACAGAAAGACAAATACTCTATGATCTCACTTATATGTGGAATCTTAAAAAAAAAAAAAACTCATGAAAAAGGAGATCATAGACCTGGCTAAGTGGTTCAGTTGGTTGGAGTATTCTCCTGTACACCCAAAGGCTGCAGGTTCTATCCCCAGTCAGGGAACATACAGGAGGAAACCAATCGATGTTTCTCTCACATCAGTGCTTCTCTCTCTAAAATCAGTTAAAAAACAAACAAACAAACATATCCTCAGGTAAAGATCCAAAAAATACTATTAAAAAAAAAGAGATCAGATTTTTATAAAAAAGGAGGTCATCCAGGAGGAACTGGATGAAGGTGGTCAAAAGATACAAACTTCTAGTTATAAGATAAATAATTACTGGGGATGTAATGTAGAACATGATAATTATGCACGGGACATTTGAAAAGTTGCTAAGAGTAAATCCTAAAAGTTCTCATCACAAGGAAAAAAAATATTTGGTAAATATATGAGGTGATGGATCTTAACTAAGCTTACTGTGGTAATCATTTTGCAATCTATGTATGTCAAGTCATCATGCTATATACCTTAAACTTATCCAGTGCTGTATGTCAGTTATATCTCAATTAAAAAAGAACACTGGCAGAAATAAATATGATTCAATTAGCCATTTTGTTTCATTTTTTAATTCTTGAAAGACCTCCAAATCATATCATGAAGCCTTAACTTAATATCGGGCCAAGTTGGTGCTGAAAAAGGACCAGTCATTAAGAACAGGTTGTGAAACTATTATTTTGCAAATGATTAGATTAGCAGCATGTTTTTGTTTGTTTTGTTTGTTTTTTATCAAGTTTATGTGCCTCATCAACAAGATTCCATGCTCAGATTACGGCAAAATTACTGACTTGACTAATTTGATGAAGCTGTCACAGAAACAATATGTCTCAATACATTACATAGCACTAAGAAAAATGGACTGTAAATTAGAGCCGGAGATGTTAAAAACAACTAACAATAGCTTTTAAATTCCAATAAACACAACCTGAGCAACTCTTTCAAATAGTAATGGCCTGGTCTTTAATTTTTCTTTTCTTTCTTCTAGTTCTTGTCGGTATTCTCTCATCCTTTCCTTTTCACTCTTTCTAAAATCAAATAAAAGGAATAAAATTTTACAAAGAAATAAGAACTTGCATATATAACATTTAGCTTAGATGACAAATCAGAAATTAAGCTATGAGATAATTTACAATTTACCACCATTCCTTTTCTAGACTGGTACAGTTTTATGGAACATAGTAAAAAGTCTAGGTTCTGAGAGCACACAAATTCTCCATCCTGGGATCAGTCTTTGTACTCTGAAGGTTCTGAAATCTTTAAGACAGAATGTATTAAGGGACTTCAAACTGGCCTGAAAAAGTGAATGAATGCCTTTTTTATCTCATATATAAGTGTGTAGGTGTCTTCTCTTTAAGGAATTTCTTCAGAAAACAAGCCCTTGCTCTTTATTCCCTTAAGTGAGATTTGCTATAGATTGTTGACAAAATTAATTAAATGGGAACAGGTCATGGGAGAAATGGGGAGAATGGGATTATGACATAGAGGAATAGAAATCAAATACATAAATTCACAGTAAGTGTACTTATTATTTGGGCAAGATCTCATAATGAATTAAACTATGCTATTTTCTCTATGTAAAATACACTAACTCTACCAAGATAATAAGATTTCATGGATTAGAGAAAATAATTATACTATAAAATGATAATTATGCTTAATTATATACAAGTTAGTATTATGAAAAATACAGTTTACTTTCTAAGGAAGAACAGTATATTTCTAAGGAATTTTTTGCTCAAGTTCATCAAATTAAGCTCCTTCTATCAATGAATTACACTGACAGACATTATAAGGAATATATAATAACATACATTTAAAGGAATATGATTATATATAATACACATTTAAAAAGAAATACTTATAATTAAAAGGAAGTATAGATTTTGGGGTTATTTATAGATCAGATTAAAAATTAATAGATCATATTACTTACCCAGCTTTGGGGAAGTTATTTTCCTCCTTAAACATGAACATTTTTATGTTTATTTCTAACATAAAAATGTTCCTCTGGAACACTGGTTTTCAAACTTTGTTCTGCAGAATTCCAGTGTTCTGGAATACTTTTATCTATTTATATTAAAATCGTGACAAAATGCAACACATACCTCTAAACATTAACATACATGTTAATTGACACTTCTTATAATTGATGTTCATTAACACCAATGTGTTAATTTGTGCTACCAAATTTCCTTTGTTCCTTAGAACAAAGCTCTTTGACATATCTGTTTATTAAATATTCTGAGATTACATGGCAAGCTGTTAAAAAAAGATTTATCTATGTGAATCAAGATTTTTCTCAAAATTGTACTGTGTAATCAAAACTAATATAAAGAAAAACATGAAATGCTGATGTAAGATGATGTTAACTATGGCCACAATATAAAACATTTCTGTTCATCAACATTACTTCACGGTGCTCACCATCAGTTTAGTACACATGTTGGTTCTCACCATGAGGTGAACGTGAGTGTGTGAGTGTGTATAAGTAAGTATTAGTAACTTGAATCCAGAATCTAAAATACTAATACTCTTCTTAAACTGTTCATATATTGGTAGTTATTGATTAAAAAAAGAAAGTTTGAAAACCAGTGGTCTGAAGGTTCAGGATTTTTTTCATGATACCTGAAAGATTCTATTCTGGATTTAGACATTTGAGCTAAACTTTGATGTGAGTCATAAGCCTTAGCCCGGGTTGTCAGGAGTTTCTGCAATTCTTTCATTCTTTGCTTCTGCTTAGTTAGGATCCGGTTTCTCTCTTCTTCCAACATTTTCTTTTCCTCAAGCGATCTCCTGAGGGCAACAAACTAAGGCTTAATTCACTTTAAGCCAATGAGAAGGTTGCTAGCAAAGATTTAACACAGGATAAATCAAAGGTTGAAAAAAGGCAACCTTTTGAGAAGGATCTGACTTGTAAAATTGGAAATCAATAGAATGACTATAACCTTTTCTATTCCCATGGATTCATAAAATGGAAAATACATTTTTAACACTTCCTCTAGCAAAATGTTCTATATTACAGAATAAAATATATTACCAGATATAATAATTTATTCGTACTTTCAAATTCACCAACGTAAAGTCAATAGTGCTGCAGACACTATGTTAGGAACCATAAGTCAGTCAGTACCGTATCCAAGTTATATTTACCTTGTGGCTTGTTCTCTTCCTCTGGAAGATATTGTGGGCATTGGAAGGCTGCCATTATAAGGCATAGGTTTTGCATTTGGACTCCTTACTGGTGACTTGTGCCTTAGAGACATGTAAGGCCAACGTGTTTCTTTTAAGTTTTCATCATCTGCTTCAAGATCTGCCAAAAGTTTCTCTCTTTTAATGGATGCATGTGAGGCTGCAGGAAGATCAAATGGTTTGCAGACTGTTAGAAATTTTGGACATTTCTGTTCTGAGAGGTGCTTTTGATTTCTCTCGGGAAGTTCTCCAAAATCAGCAGTCTGGTTCCTAGATTTGCATTTACACTTCAACTTCTCAGCCTGTTCAGGACACTTGGGCTTCCTTGCAGCAAAACTTCTGTGAGCTGGTCTACAAGGGACAGGGGATGAATTCAGTAAAAGTTCTTGGGCTCTCGGCTGTGTCTTAATGTTTCTATAGAGCTCATATCCTTTTACCCTGTCATTGGTAGTTGAACCATAAGTAGATTGAGGTATAGGTCTGGCTTTAAATCGATTTGTTTTCTTTTTAGACTTAAAAATGTCTCTCAGCTGCTTTTCCCGGATCGCTTGCTTCTGTTCCTCCCTTGCTATAAACTTAAATGGCTTTTGTGAAGCCAAAAGAGCTTCTTTATTCTTCTCCTTCATCATCCTCCTCCGTTCTTCATTTTTCTTGACTATATCATGATAAAGGGGTAGAAAGACAAATGCTGGAACTGGGTTGGCTCGGAATTTTTTCTTACACTCTGAATCTTCTTCCTGTGTTTTGAGTAGTTTGTGTACCATTTCAATATCTGATTTGGATTTCAAGTTCTCTTCTCTTTTTTTCTGTTCTCTAATCATCATTTGAAAAGGCTCAGGTACTGTAATTTTTGGCACCCACTCTTTTGGTTTTTTCTTTGTTTTTTCCACAGCTGGGAAGTCATCATCTTTATACTGAATGTACTCTTTAACAGAAAAGTTTGTCCACATGTTGTTAATGAGCTCCTTAGCAAAGGACATCATTCTGTTTTTCTCAGGATTCTCTTTTTCTAAGTTGGACCATTCATCTTCAGAGGAAGACACAATCAAGGAGGAAGCATGACCTAAATCAGGTTCTGAAAACGATGTTATTAACGAGATAGGGTGATAGGAGTTCTTTTCTGATACAGACCTAAGTGAGAAGAATATTAGATTATACTTTCAGTTGTATGTGACCAAATATAAAAATTAAGAATTATATATTTTCTTAAAGTATAATCAGTTAGAAGATAGGAACTGGCTTGTAAAAATTATCACTCTTATTTAGAATAGAGCTGGAAGATGCCTATAAATTATCTAATTTGACTCCCTCATTTTATAATGGAGGAACATGAGACAGTTGAGGCTCCCTGTGTCTAACCTCTGAATTGAATCATCCACACGTTTTCCAGAGTTAACATCTTAAAATATATGTCTACTCATGTCACTCTCCTTCTTTAAACTTTTCCATGATTTGTCATTGTTATAAAGTCAAGTATAGATTATAAAGCCCTTTAATATTAGCCCCTTCCTACCTTTCCAGTTTTACCTCTCACCTCTCCTTACCCCAATCACCATTCTAAGTCATATCCAATCATGTGAAGTTCCTCACATACAACATGATTTCTTCTGCCACCACACCTTTGCACACGTGGTTTCGGCTGCCTACCAGGCCACTCCTTGCTTCCTGCATTTGCTGCAGCTACCTGCCCCCTCAAAGACTAAACTCAGATATGACACTTCAGTAGAAAATTCCTGTCTTTGTCCTCCCACTGACACCCTGACATGATCAACTGCTTTTTCCTCTGTCTCGATAACACTGTTACATCATGTTGTATTGAAGTATTTGGCTCTCAGCTAGTCTTTGAGCTCCTTGAGGGCATCTCGATTTTGATTCTCTAGTGTCCAGGCAAGATCTAGCACATAGGAGATGTGCAATCGGTGTAGACCAACTGGATGAGTTAAGGAACTTGCCTCAAGTTTCAAAACAAGTGAGTTTATTACAAAAATAGGTCTTGAAATTGAAGACTATTTTGAAAACTTGAATTCAACTTATGTCTTAGTCCTAAACTCTTTGTACTATATCTTTAACGACCTCATGTTAATCTGCATAATATAAAGAGCTTTTAAAATTAAATTTTAACATTCATCATTTAAAAATGGCCCAGATTAAATATTTGCATACATGTCTACAGTTCTACAAATGACAGGTCCGAGAGAAAAGATCAAATGGCCACCAAATGACCCTCAAAGCAAGATGCCACCTGGTAGGTTAATAAGGCATTAAACATTTTGAATAAAATCCCTCCTCCATATACAATTAAAAGTACAAAGGGATTCTTGAGAAAAAATATTCTGAAATAATTTTGTTTTGCACTTTTAAGTTTACATTTTATTTTATAGCCCGCAAATAACATGTACAAACTTACTTGGAAGAGGTGCTAGAAGCTCCTTCCCTAATTATCACTGGCTGAACTTCCTTTAACTTTAATTTATTCTGATACATTTTCTCCAACTTTGACATAGTTTCCATGTGGGCGGCCTTCAGCTCTTCTAGTTTCCTGAAATATTCTTCATTAGAGTGGTAAATATCAGAAAAGTCCATAGGGTCCTCATAGCTTATACATGGTTGTTTATTCATCCCAGAAATGGTGTTAAAATTAGTCTGATAGGAGGGAAAAAAAACCTGTTATGTGGTGTTTGGAATTGAAAGACAAAGTTGACAATGATTCTCAATGCTGCTTCTTATTTGTGCGCTATGTATATACACTAATGGATTATAAGTTACTTGTGGACTATGTACACTTTCCCCTCATGACATTTTAAGAACAAGAGAGAGAAACCAAGCTGCCAGAAAACAAACACTATACACTATAATAGGACAGAACCAAACTACCTTTTAGAAAGAGTCTCCTTCAGTGCTGTAAGTGATAAATAAGATGAAGAACAAAGTTCCTCCTGCTGCAAACCAAGCAGCCACAGCACAACACCCTCCAGGAGCTGGGCTCCTACAGTGTGGGACACAGGGTGTGCCAGTGGAAGAGGGGAATGAGGGCAGCAGAATGGAGGGAACAAAGTTCTCACTGACTCATTGAGAAGCCCTCCTGGATGTGCAGGGGAGACCTCAGGAAAGGGGTGGGAGGTACTTTCAGAACAGCTGCTCCTGAGGGCAACAAGAGCAGTAGCTCTCCTGAGTGACAGACTTTGGGAGTGAAAAGAAAACAACAGTATAGTATAGTATTAAAACTACACAAAGTGCAGTTATTCTAGTATATGTAGGTCATGCCTGAAGAGTCTGACATCTTCTCCCCGCTACCTTACACCAGTTTCTTTTTTTTTTTTTAAGATTTTATTTTTTAGAGAGAGAGGAATGGAGGGAGACAGAAAGGGAGAGAAACATGGATGTGAGAGAGAAAAATTGATTGGTTCCCTCTCATACATGTCCCAAATGGGGACTGAATCTGCAACCAAACCTTTAACCCAGGCATGTGCCCTGACTGGGAATCAAACCAGTGACCTTTTGCTTTGAGGAATGATGCCCAACCAACATACCCACACTGGTCAGGGCACATAGTTCTTTTAATTGAAGTGATTATAGAGGTAAAAAATCCCATTTTCTCCATAAACACAGAAATTTTTAAATTTTCTCAGTTGAGAAACTAACTTAAAGTTTTTATGAATACTATGCATAAAAGGTTCTGACCATGCTATTCTTTGAAATATACTCAGAATGAAAAAAAAAGTATATTAGCCTTAGAAAATTATAGACTCAATTTGATAAGACATCAGGAAATAAATCCGAGTAGCTTCTCTCAATGGTAAAATGCAGAAGAGCCGCTTATAAATAAAAGTTATAGATATGGTGTTTTTTTAAATGGGCTAAAAACAGTGTACAAGAGGCCTACATTGTACTATGTGGACTTAGAGAAAATGAATGAAGGAAAATGTTTTCTTCAGTAGAACTGGTGTGCAGAAATTTATTACCAATAAATCTATGACTCGGAGAATTGCTTTACTGCCATACAACTCAATTAAAAAAATCTCCTGCCCTGGCTGGCGTAGCTCAGTGGATTGAGCACGGGCTGCAAACCAAAGTGTCACAGGTTCAATTACCAAACAGGGTACATGCCTGGGTTGCAGGCCATGACCCACAGCAACCGCACATTGATGTTTCTCTCTCTCTTTCTCCCTCCCTTCCCTCTCTAGAAAATAAATAAATAAAATCTTAAAAAAAAGAGAAAATTTTCTGATATCTTTTACTGTTTTTACATGTGTTTTTCATCATTACCTTCTTAGCTGTGGAAATGAGTACTTTTTTAACTTCTGCACTCATTAAATAGTTAGGAACGCCCAGCCTTCAGCTAGCTGCTTAAAAATACAAATCAGATAAAAAAAAACAACTCCACCCTTGAGAAGCTTCCAGTTAGTTTAGAGGCAGACACGCACATAAATAATGGACAGCAGACTTTGAATGAGACAGAACTCCTGATTCCTGCCCATGAACTGCTCCCAGCTGAGTGGCAGACAGAGAAGTGATCATAGTATGTCACAATATCAGTTACCATGAGAGCTCAGAGAAGGAGTGCCTAATTCTGACCTGGAGAAAAGAAGAGGCAGAATTTCCAAGGGTGAGCCAGATGGAGACATGATATTTAGGGAAGCAGTGAAAAACAAAGAAATCGAAGGCACAGTGCTAGAACATTCATCGTATGTTACATCATGATGATGCAACTGGCAGGTACTTGATAAGGAAACTGAGGCTCAGAGGATTTAGGTGACCTCCCTGTAATCACAGAGCTAGTAAGTAGTAGGGCTTGGATTTATTCCACATCCCTAGTGTTAAGCTCCAAAGACACACCACACTCCTCCCAAGGGCAGGAAGGGTTTTTTAGCTACAATAGGAAGGAACAAGCATGATGTACTCAGAGAAAGGTAAACAATCTGGGGCAGGTGTGGCAGAACAAGGTATACAAAGCACAGGGGAGGATGGGAAACAAGGTGAAAAGGGCAAGTCAAGAATCCCAACCACGTCAACAGAAACCTTGAAAGGTATGAGCAGAGGAGTGACATGATCAGAAATACTCAGAAGGATTTTTCTGGTAGCAAACAGTCAAAGGAAGAATGGTTAGCAGCAGTATTTAATGAGCTAATGCAAAGGTCCAGGTTAGAGATATCAAGGGTAGAATTAAGGGAGCAGCACCAAGGAAACTGCCTTGGTAGATTAAGGAGGCTGAATCATCAACTCAGTAATAATCTGTATTGTGGGCAACAAACTGAAGGTGTCAATTTGGAGCACTGCCTGTCTGGGTAAACACTGCTGCTGCCATTTATCAATGCAGTGATTACAGGGGAGGAGAGTGTTTTAGGAAAAGGAAACTCAACACTCGGACTCACTGAGTTTAAGGGATAGTAGGGCAGCTGAGTTTCCAGGGAACAGGTGGGTAAATATATCTGGGGACCTGGAAAGGAAGCTGCTGGGCTGAAGACGGAGATATGGTAGCCACTGATGCATACACAAGTGGCAGGTGCAGCCCTGCATGTGGATGAGGCTGCGTGGGGAGAGTGTGGACAATAAGAAAAACCTGAGGATGGGAATGTTGGTGAGCACCAACACTTAAATGAGCAGTGAGAGGAGGACTAATATTAAGCAGAAAGTGGTCATGAGAAATACAAATACCAAGTGATAAGGGTATTCAAACAAAGGGAGCTTTTGTTTGGTTTGAGTCTGTATGAAAACATAAGGCTTCCTGAAGGACGTGCTATTTAAGCTGAGTCAAAAAATGGAAGAATCTGGAAGATCAGAGAGAGTATTGGCAGGGGGGAGGGAAAAGGTACTGCAGACAGAGGAAAGGACATTAACAAAAGCAGTGGGGGTGGGAGGCATGGTGGAGAGTGAGGTGCGCCCAGCTAGCAATTTTGAGAAGCAAGCTAGGAAAGGAAGGTTAGGGCAAGCATGAGGTGGTTTTCCATTTTTTGTCACTACTGGCTCCTAACTATGCACAGGTCATAGTTTCAGCCCCCTTAGGAACCTCCAAATATAAAAGGATTGGCTAGAAGTTAAGTAACTTTTCAGTTTGGAGCATTCTTAGGGCTTGGAAGAATGATTACAGATATGGTGTCAAATTCTCATTCAAGCCAAGGTTCTGCATTTCTTAGCCAAGCAACATAAGCACTAACTTTGGTTACACGGGGTTTTTTTTTTAAAGATATTATTTATTTTTAGAGAGAGGACCTGGCCCTCAAAACAGGCATGTGCCCTGGCTGGGAATCAAACTAGTAACCAGTGACCCCCTGGTTCGCATGCCAGCACTCAATCCATTAAACCACACCAGCCAAGGCATGAGCACTAACTTCTGAACACCAATTTTACAATATATAAAGTAGGTATGCCAGGTGTTAAACTATTATCTCTCGGCTCCATTGCCACGCTTCTATACCCTGCTAGGTAACGCTGGAGATGGGACTCTATAAACCATGATTCTGCTTTGCCAGCTGCTGCCCAGTCAACTCTGCCTAAAGTGGGGCTAGAGGGAGACTGCAGGGCTAGAGGAAGAAGGGACCTATTCCTTCCTGTTAGTTCTCTGTCCACTTACCTGCTTGAGTCAGCCTGGCAGTGGTTCTTCCCTTGAACAGCAGCAGAGGCTGATGCCAGTTTGCAGATTTTCCAATGCTCACAGAATCAGCAACATCACCTTAGGGCCTTTATTCAATGCCATCTCCTCAGCAAGGTCTTTACTGGCTACCCTACTGGAAATTACAACTTCTCCACCCAGTCATTACCAGTATCCCTTTTCTGCTTTATTTTTCTCATATGGACTCACCAGTAACTGACATTCTGCATATCTTTATTTATTTGTGTATTGTATGCCTACCCCTTCAAAAAAGGAAGCATCACAAAGGATTTGTCTGCTTCGTTCATGGTAGTAGTGCCCCCAGTGCCTAGAAAAAGTGCATGACTAATGGCAGATGCTCAATAAATTTTTGAATGGTACAGCTAAAAAAATATTATTTCTACTGAGAGGAGAGGTATTCCCTCATAAAGGACTCAATCCTTCTAAGAAATACTGGCTGGTCTAAAGATCTACATTCTACTAAGTATTAAGAAAAGGGCTTACTGAAAAATAAAACTGAAACAGGGAGGATATTCCACAGGACTTTTTTTTTTGACAAAAGCATCCATGTATTCTCCACACAATCTCTTATAACACCCTTAAGAGAAGGCCTTATAACAATCATTTCACATTAAAGGGTAAAATTTATTTGGTCCTGAAGAAACTAAAAAAAGATACCAAAGTAGCTTCTGAAGAGACATGCAAGCCTGATAAGTTATACTTATGCACTGACTTTTAACAGTATCCGTTCCATTTCTGTTTAATACTTTTTTTTTAAGTTTTGTTGCTTTGAGGAGTCTTTAAATATTTTATTTATTTACTTTTAGAGGGAAGGGAAGGGAGTGAGAAAGAGAGGAAGAGAAACATGTGAGAGATACATCGACAGGTTGCCTCTCACACGCCCCCCAACTGGGGACCTGGCAGGTGCCCTGACAGGTAAATCATTCACAGGCTGGCGCTGAGTCCACTGAGCCACACCAACCACGGCTGCTTAGTTCTCTTAATGCTAGCCTAAACTTGTCAAATAAACTGATCCTACAGTGTTTTCCCTAAAACAGAAGAATGGCTAATAAGTGAATTCTAACTCTAATTTCATCTTTGTCTTTACATAGAAGAAAACATTTTAGTGGATCAAATAACCTAAACCAAGGACATTATTTTCCAAGAGCCTAAAGGAGCACCCTTTCTCTTTAATTGGTCAGCTTTTTGTGGAATGTTGTGCACGCAGCCACTAGATTAGGGGATAATCTTCCCTAGATTGGCTTGACCTATTTAGATGATGGCTCCTTCCAGTGAATGTGTTTCATTAGTAATCAGCACTCAATATTATTTGTGGTATACTCTATCTAATATCATCTGCAATTCTGGAATTTTTACCAAAAAAATTTTTTTCTGCCTTAAAAGAATTTGTAAGAAATGAGGCAGATCTACATGTACTAACAAGGATAAACCCCCTAATAAATGATAAGAGAAAAAAGCAAGTTTCAGAACTATATGCACATATAAAATGCTACTGTATGTTGAAATATTATGTACACTATAGACAGGAAAAAGCCCAGAAAAATATGTATCAGTTTCAAAACAGTGGCTACCACTAGGGAGGGAGGAGGGATCCAGACTTTCCTTTCGTGGGGAGAGACATTAAAAGGGCCTAAGCCTTATTTGTAATACTTGACATTTTTAAAAGGAGAATGTGTTTGCCCTGACCTGTGTAGTTCACTGGTTGGGAGTCATCCTGCAAAGTAAAGGGTCGAAGGTTCAATTCCTGGTCAGGACACATGCGCAGGTTGCAGGTTCAGTCTCCACTCATGGAGTGTAGGAAAAGCAACCAAGAGATGTTTCTCTCACACTGATGTGTCTCTCTATTCCTTTCTCCTCTCTCTCTAAAAATAATTAAAATCTTTAAAAAATAAAATTAAAGGAAAATGAGTTCATGTGTTCATGTATTACTTCCATAAGTAAAATATAACTTAAAAAAAAAAGAAAAAGAGCCCTGGCCAGGTAGTTCAGTTGGTTCGAGCGTCATCCCAGTACTCCAAGGTTGCAGTTTGATCCCTGGTCAAGGCGCACACATCAACCAGTGATTCCACAAATAAGCCGAAGAACAAGTTGATGTTTCCTGCTCTCTTTCCCCCTTCCTCTGTCTTTCAAATCAATAAAAATACTTAAAAAAATAAAAGAAAAAGAATATTTTATGAGTATTAATACTAAATTTAAATCTGAACAATTTCTAATGACTACTTTGTCTGTCTGGTACCTGCCTCTCACATTCCCCTAGCCATACTGCTTATGTTTCCCTTGCTCTTCTACCTGCTCCCACCCCCACCCTGCAACTACCCATAGTAATTTTTATTTAAGAAAACAAAAACCAACCCTGTCTGGTGTGGCTCAGTGGATTGAGCATCAACCTGCAAACCTAAAGGATCCCTGGTTCAATTCCCAGTCAGGGCACATGCCTGGGCTGTGAGCTAGGTCCCTGGTTGGGAGTATACGAGGCAACACATCAATGTTTCTCTCCCTATTTTTCTCCTTCCCCTCCCTTCTCTCTAAAAAGAAACAAAATCTTAAAAAATAGAAAGCATCAGAAAAAAGTTCCCTCATCTTTCCATCTATAAAACCACATGCTTTTGTGCCACTTTTCTTTTTCTTCCTGCTTCAGGGATGAACGTCCCTTCTCTTAGCAGTATTTAACACTTTCCCTCATCATTAAAACCAATGAACGGGGGACTTCCACGCTTGTGATAATCCTACCACTGTCACTGGTCCTTTCTCTCTTTTGTCTCCTTTTTCTCTACCCTACTGTTAAATGAGATTTTGGTGTGGTTTTTTTTTTAAGACTTCTATACAAGGCCCCTCTTTCTCTGCTCTCTCCCTTAGTGACTTCATTTATTCCCACAGTTTCAAAGGTGCTGAAAACTCCCAGATTGAAATCTCCAGCCACAGAACTATAGTTTCATAGGCTCAATTGCTTCCTACACATACCTACTTGGTAGTTTCACAGACGTCTTGAAGTTACCATGTTCAAAACAAATCTTGATTACCACCCAGCCTCTATACCCATTCCTCCCCTAGTTGTCCCCAGTTCAGTAAATGGCACTACATTCCATTCAGCTGGTCAAACCAGAAACCTGGGGATGAGCATTCTCTATTTCTTCTTCTTCCTTGGCCTTCACGTTCATTCTTTAACAGTAACTCCTCTCCATTCTAGAGAAATCTGTCCAGTTCTACCACCTCCCCAAGTCTCTAGGTCCAGCCACCGCCTATGGCTCCTGAACTACTGCAACGGTCTCCTAAACAGTCTCTTATTTCTCCTTTGCCAAACCTGCCAATCATTCTCCACAAACCCATCAGAGCCATTTTAAAAAAATGTGAATAGGGCTCTGGCTTATGTGGCTCAGTGGATTGAATGCTGACCTGCGAACCAAAGAGTCGCTGATTCAATTCCCAGTCTAGGGCACATGCCTGGTTTTGGGCCAGATACCCAGTAGTGGGTGTGCAAGAGGCAACCACACATTGATGTTTCTCTCTCTCTCTCCCTCCCTTCCCCTCTCTAAAAATAAATACATAAAATCTTTATAAAAAATGTGAATAGGGCCCTAGCTGGTGTGGCGCAGTGGATTGAGCACCAGCCTGCAAACCAAAGGGCACCAGTTTGATTCCCAGTCAGGGCATATGCCCAGGTTGTGGGCCAGGTCCCCAGTTGGGGGCGTGAGAGAAGCAACCACACATTGATGTTTCTTTCCCTTTGTTTCTCCCACCCCCCTCTCTAAAAATAAATAAATAATATTTTTAAAAAGCTGTTAAACTTAACTTTATATCTAATAAAAATAATTTCATATATGAATATGAAATAAAAACTAAAAAAAAAAGTGAATAGGGCCCTGGTTGGGTAGCTCAGTTAGTTAGAGCATCATCTGGGTATGCCAAGGTTGCTGGTTCCATTCCCAGTCAGGGCACATACAAGAGTCAACCAATGAATGCATAAATAAGTGGAACAATAAACTGATGTTTCTTTCTCTCTCTAAAATCAATATTTTTTCCTTTCTGCCATCTTTCCATGCTGCCATAATGGCATGCGTGAATGTCCTTGGCTGATGCTCTCAAGAGTATCAACAATGCTGAAAAGAGAGGCAAATGCCAGGTTCTTATCAGGCCGTGCTCCAAAGTCTTCATCCCGTTTCTAACTGTGATGATGAAGCATCAGTACACTGACGAATTTGAAATTATTGATGACCACAGAGCTGGGAAAATTGTTGTGAACCTCACCAGCGGGTTGAAAAAGTGTGGCGTAATCAGCCCCAGATTTGATGTGCAACTCAAAGATCTAGACAAATGGCAAAACAACCTGCTTCCATCCCATCAATTTGGTTTCATTGTACTGACAATGGGCATCATGGATCATGAAGAAGCAAAATGAAAACTCACAGGAGGGAAAATCCTGGGACTATTTTTCTAGGGATATAATATATATGTGCAAGTAAAATGCCTCAATAGACAAAAATTAAAAATTAAAAAATTAAAAATAAAATCAATACATTTAAAAACTTTTTAAAAAAATGTAAATAGAAATGTGTCAGATCTCTTAAAAGTTTTCAAGGATCTCCCAATGCTTCTATAGTAAATACTCAACTCCTTACCTAAGACTGCAAGGCCCTGAATTAGGCCTTATTTACCTCTCCAACCTCATCTCCTCCCCTCTCCCATTCTTTCCCTCTTTTACAGTTCTTAATCACATAAAGCTCTTTATCTTCCTATCTTAAGGCCTTTGCATATGCTTGTTCTCCCTGCTTGGAATGCTTTTCCCACAGCCACTCTTCAAATGGTGACTCTTTTTCATTATCAAGCACAACTTACATGTTCATTAATTCAAATAGGTTCCCTCCTACTTCTTTTTAAAATCATAGTAGCCTATTCACTTCTTTCTCAGCACTTCCCATCTTGCAATCACTTGTTAAATTTTTTATTGTCTAACCTCCCCACCACATTGGAAACTATGTCTACTTTATTCACCACTGAATAGTCAGTGACTAGCACTTAACAAATGCTCAATATTTGTTGAAAAAGGGAAGGCCATTCCATTAGGAAAGTCAGTGAAATTTTAATTGTGGATTAGAGAATATTGCTTTACCCATGCCATCATCAACCACATAAGGCCTATGAACGGGTATCTCCAAACGAGGCTAGCTAGATTCAAGGAACATGCTTTAAAAAAAAAAGGAACACATTTCAGTGCCCATATGAACATAGTCATGAGGTGTTGTGGGGTGAGGGGGAGAGAGGCTTTGGCAAAGGACTGACAGGGACCTACTGTGACAGTCAGTTCTCAATCAATATTTTGTGGTGGCTAGAGTAACTGAGTTTACTATATTTTACTAATGACAAAGTTGAACCAAATTAACCTTTAAAAACCATGGTGGAAAACTAAGCCAGCTTGGTTCCTGCACTTTCTTTTTTAGTGCTTCTTCCCCACCCCAGTTGCCTCGGGCTATTATCAGGCAGTAAATGGCAGTTTATCAGGTTTGCTTTTGGATCCCTCAAGACTGCTTCCTTTTTTTTTTCTTAGTAGAATCCTGTCCCTTTGAAACTAGCTTGTTAGATAAATTAATCTTTCCTAAGGTAATAACTTTCTAATAATGTGAAGTTTAACAAGGCATTCTGGAAACATACTGCAACTATACAAATGACAGACTCCTCTAGCACAGCAAGCCAAAGTAGAATTTAATCTTTGGGCAGGTTGTTCAAATGACAGTCCCATTGGCAGTATTATTATTACTACTGATTCATACAAACTGTTCCTTAGATATGACACACATTCTCTCATTCAGTTCTCATAACATCCTAGTGACACAAGAAAGACAAACAGTTATTTTAGTTTTTCCTATAGGTAAGGAAACATCTTGATAGTCATAATCTAGGACTCCAAATCTTCTTCCATCACCTTGGCTCCTTTGTTGGCTGCTGAAACTTGTGTTGAGAGGAAGCTTTATCATGAATGAAACTGGTCCTACAACTCTCACCCTAGTTAATGTTCAGGGTCTCAATCTGTCTTACTTTGGATAATCTCAAGTAGTTTAAGGGTGTTGGTGAAATGCTTACCATAAAAAATGTTTCTACAAATTTTCTCATTCACAGTTTTAATGTAGATTAAGGAGATTAGAATTCCAAAGTATTCAGTGATTTCTATTACCCTAGATCATAATGTTTTTTTCTTTTTGTATCTGAGAGGCCTGGAAAAATAGTATTAAGCATCTTTAACTGGAGTTTAACGATTGGAGTTTAAAGATTGATAGTTAAAATTCAAGGTTTCTATCTCTTAAGGGAATAGAGCAGATGGCAGACTCGGCCCTCTACCTGGTGCACAGGTGTTCCGGACACATGTGACACTGAAAAGTGATCAGTGAAAGGCTATCTCACAACACCCTGAAGAGCCCTTTAGGAAATAATGGGTCCTTAGTAATTTGCTTCTCTGGATGTTTAATATACCTGTCTGACCTATCACTGAACTCTTGATCGTTTTAAATATTGCAACTCATGTATCGTGTTAAGATGCACTAATAACTAAGACCTAAAGGTGACAACAAAACACAACTCTGATACATGGTAAGGGTTATCCTCTGTGGGGCAGAGAGATAAGTCTTTCTCAAGTTAAAAAGAAAAGGGATTATCTACTTCTGAGAGATGCTAGATGATAAGGAGTAAGGTTCTGTGCTTTGCACTCTCTGGACTAAATAGAGTAAAATAAATGCTCTCCAAGAAAATTTTACAACAATCTCTTTGGTGAAAATTAAAAGACGTTTTAATGCCTTGGTGTTGAGTGTTTTCTATGGGGGCAGAGAGAAGGTGGTAGGCCGAATTACCGGGAAGGGAGAATCTGGAGAGGGCACCGCGTTTGCCAGCCCGTCGCTCAGCACAGCGTGGTCCGCGGACAAGCCCTCAGCCTGCACCCAGCCAGCCAGAGCCCAGCCCACGTCCCGCCCCTACATTACCAGCGCCGGCGCCCGCCGCACCGCCTTATGCTCTTCTTCTTCTTCCTCTTCTTCCTCCTCCCCATCCAAGGCCGCCACTACCGCCGCCAGAGACTCTAAAAGGCCCTTGCGTTCATACGGGGCGACCCGCGCTCCAATGTTGGGATTTACTGGTTGGAGACTGTAGGACAACGGTTGGTGCGAGGCGGCCATCACCACGCCACCGAGGCCTCAGCGCCAGCGCCGGCCCGGGGCGGGGAAGTTGGTGTGGCCTCAGGTTACCCAGCTGCGCTTTGCTTGGGGCGAGCAGTTACTAGGAGCCCAGTAACTAGGAACGCTACAGGGAGCGAGAGGGGCCAAAAATCACTCAAATCTTCGCAGGCTACGGGAGATCCAAGGCGTGTGCCTCCTTTATAAGTGGGAGTCAGTGCTGAGTCTCTGCTCGTTTAGAGGGTTGAGGGGCGGAAAAAGGTGCCTCCCCCTCAGCCTCATGCCTCACTGCCTATTCTCAGACTTCTCACCTTATATTAATGAAACAATTCATTTGGGGGGTTGGAATGAGCGCATTTAAAAATATTTTTTGTATTTATTTTTTAGAGAGAGGGGAAAGGAAGAGGAGAGTGGAGAGAAATACCCATTGGTCACCTTTCATACAACCCTAACCAGGGACCCGGCCTGCAACCCAGGCATGTGTCCTGACCAGGAACCAAACTGGCCACCCGTCGGTCCCACAGTCCTGTGCTGTCTACTGAGCCACACCAGCCAGATCAGAGCTCATTTTCATTCAATCAAATAACATGTTTCCAATAGGAGACAGCGGTGGCAGAGGAAAGCAAGAAATGTTAGTGTGGTGGCCTCTAACAGTGTGACAAAGTTTGCATCCTGCTACCTAAAACACGCCCCTCCCCTCCCCTCCCCAGAGAAAGGAAAGGAGTGTGGCACATTCTACTCTGACCTGACAGCTAGCAGAAATCCATGGATCTGAAGGAGAATGTTAAGTGTGCGATCTTGGTATGACCCATTAGAGCCCAGCATTGGGTAGAGCCTGGCCCACCCACCACTGACAGTTCAGGTATATGAACCTGGCATTTGCAGGTTGGGGTCTGTCAACTTCACAGTGGTGGGGATAGAAGTTGCAAGCACCCAACAGTAACCACAGGGGTCTCAGCCCCACACCAGGACTCCGCAGCCCCAGCCAGGAAGAGAAGCACCCATAACTTCTATCTAAAAAAGGGCGGTGGTGTGGCTAAGACAGAGAGCTTCTGGAGCCTCACACAGTTCCTCTTAAACGGCTCAGGCACAGTCTTACTGTCTCTGAGGTCCAGCACTGGGCAGCAGTTTGAAAAGCACTGGAGACATGGAGAGGACCTGAACTGTCTGGTAACAGGGTGTGAGCTGGGGATTGGACAGCCTTCTCCCAGACAGAAGCGATGGCAGAAATCATTGTTCTTTTGATAAGCCTTGCTTCCTACAGAACCGGAGACTGGCCACGGATCTAAGGCTCCATCAAACAAGCTCACCCTGCCCCACTCAAATTGTGTTTAGTGGGATTTTCCAAATTAATAGCAGTTGCAGTTCATGCTTTAGATTTTCTTAAAATCTAACAAGCAGCATCTGGACTGTGTCCCATACCACTTGCCAAGTGGCCCCAGGCCCAGGACTAGCAGCAGCTGGCCGTGGTTCACAGCTTAGCTTTGCCTGGGCACCCTCAAGGTCAGCAGTATCAGCCATCTACAGATTGCTTTGTAGCTCATACTGGGTGGACTCAGGCAGAACACTGGTGGTGGCTGACCTTGGCCTGTACCTCCAGGGAGGCGCCCAATAGACAGCTTCAGACCACATACTTCAAAGAACCACCATCCAACCACCTCAAGCCAACACACTCAAGGGGACAGACTCAGCAGGCACCAAATCCCCACTTAAGTTTTGCTTTGTGGGGTAGGCCCCTGCACAGCTGATCCTCTATCGTAGTCAAAGGTTGATGGTCACAGCTAGTGCTTGCAGCTGCTTGGCCCAGGGGGTAAATTCTTGCCATTGACGTGCCAACAGCATTCAAGCCTGGACTACAAAGTGTAAACAGTCCACAAGGCAGGGGATGGAGGATGGGGATGGGGAGTGAACCTAGAGTGTTCAGCATGGACGACTGGAGAGGCAATGCCACTGGACACTGCAAAACAACCTAGTAATACAACCACTCTACCAAGCTGAGATATAGCAGCTCTACCTAATACATAGAAACACAAGGAGGTTGCCAAAATGAGAAAGAAACATATCCCAAATTAAAGAACAAAACTCCAGAACTAAAAAAATGGAGACAAGAAATCTAGATTCAGAGTTCAAAACACTGGTTATAGGGATGTTCAATGAACCTAATGAGAACTTCAACAGCATAAAAAAGGATCAGTCAGAAATGAAGAACACAACAAATGAATTTGCAGGGAATCAACAGTATAGTGGGTGAAGCTGAGAATCAATCAGCAATTTAGACTACAAGGAAGTAAAAAACACCCAATCAAAACAGAAAAAATCATCCCCCCAAAATGAGGATGATTTTACAGTATACTGTAAGGATACTCTGAGACAACTTCAAGTGGACCAACATCAGAATGATGGGGGTACCAGAACAGAGCAAGAAATTGAATACCTATTTGAAAAAAATGACAGGAAACTTCCATTAGTGAAGGAAGTAGGCATGCAAGTCCAGGAAGCAGTGTCCCAAACAAGATGAACCCAAAGAGACCCACACCAAGAAATGTCATAATTAAAATGCAAAAGGTTAAAGACAATAAATAAAAAAAAAAAAGGAAGAGCAACAGCTCTGCAATAGGAGTGTGCTGGAATATAAGGAGGTGGTGTGAGAGGGGTAGAGTGTGCAAAGGGCAGTATTAGGAGCTGAGGCACAGGTGAGAGGATATGACAGATCCAGGGTGTACACATGCTGATGAGAAAAGTCTTCAGTGAAGTCTTCCAATCCATGAACAGGGGATGTTTCCATTTATTTCACCCACGTTCTGTAGTTTTCATTGTGCAAGTCCTGCATCTTCTTAATTCCTGAGGTTTTGTAATTTCCATTTCAGATTGTATAGATACCCAACTTCTTTTAATGTGTTAACCTTGCATCCTGTTAGTGTTGTATTTACTAGTTCTTTTTCTGTGGAACCTTTAGGGATTCCATACATATGAGACACACAGAACCCTGTGCTGAGTGACTGATAAAAGATCCAATATAAATAATTTGGAGAGTATTTTGACTTAAAAGATTTTAGGACATACCTCATTCAACAGTTTCATGGCAGCCAGAAAAAGCTTATTTTACAGTAAGCTCTAAATAGCCATTAAAAGGGGGAGACAGTAAGCTGAATACAATTCTAGACAATCCAGAAATAGTATCTAAACATACTAAGACTTACCATTTACCAAATGCTATTTCAGTTAACTATTTGAGTTGTCAGACACTAAATAAACTACAGATTGATTGGCTGAAATCCTCCACACATGCAACGGAGAGTCCTAGTTGCTTTTATAACACCCCATGTGAATAGAAGAGATGAGATGGTGGGAATAATACCAGATTGTGTAGGACCAATTTAGGTCCACTTCAAAGATCAAGCCTTTATGCAAAGGCAATCAGAAGCCATGAAAGCTTTCATAAAGGTGAGTGCCTGAAAAGGTTTTTAAAAATCAGTAGCTACAGTGTGTGCAGAATTAATGGAAGACGGTTAAAGTGAGGGAAGAGATTACTCTGATTTTACACTACTCATGGTGAGACATATGCTTGATCAGGGTAGAGTCAATGAAAATGCTTAAAACCATTGAAATGACATATTAGTTAATAATCCTTTTTGTATAAATAAAATTTACTACTTGTGTACACTTTTATTTGTAGAAGATATCTCAACACAACAGTGCTTATTCTTGGAAAAAGGGATCAGGATTATAAAGTTTAGGTAGCCTTTCATTTTTTTACTTTGTATCTTTCTGATAGTTTATGTAAATGGGGATTTATCAGGGTGATGAGCGTATTAATTTGGCCATTTCCCCCCTCAGTACTTCTGTTAAAAAAAAAAGTAAGACGAGGTATTTAGGATTAAGATCCTAAGGAAATCAACAGGTAAATGTGAATCCATCCCACCCCCTTCTTACACACATTTTTCAAGAGTGTCTGAAGTAACAGAATGTTGGGAGGACAGCGACAATAAATTAATCTGCCTTTTGAAACCAAATATTTAATATTTTCATTGAACTGTATCAATACAATTTCAAGTAAATGCAAACTGGAAGACCAGGCCCAGGAACTCATAGAGGAAACAGTATTTGAAACAAGTAACACCGGTAACCTTCCTTCCACTCCAGCTGTACTATTAGTGGCCATGATGTTGCCAGTCCAGCAGCATTATCCAGATTACCGAGTGTTTACCTGACAAGAGAAAAACCTGAGTTTCAAAACCTGTAACAATAGAATTTTAAGGATGGAACACATTTTATGCAATTATCCAAATCACCCCTATTGTTACAAGTGAAAAAAGACTATAAAAGTGGGAACTGTTTTTACCTTAATGACTAGCAATCTATTATTTACTCCTCACCCCCACCCGAGCAATTTCTTAAAAAAAAAATGCCTTTCTGACCCTGTAGGAAAATTCACAATCTATACATACTTACCACATCATCAATTTTCAGGATGCTCCGGACAGTTTCAGTTGCTAGAGTCAGTGCACTAACTGAAACCAACAGAGGCTGGACAACCAGCTCCTCCAAAATGTTGGAAATACCACCCTGCAAATTAGCACAAATTGCTTTTAGAGTGTGTAATTATACACATCGTCAACTACACTGATATCAGTATGGCTCAAGGCCTTTTCAAATGCAGTTTTCCCTTGGTCTAGTCAAGAATAAGATATTCTCTACTAAGTAATAAGCTCTTCTCTACACTCTATGTTGTATTTCAAGTAAAATTTGAAAAAAACAAAACCTAATGCTGGATTCCCCCAATCCTAATTCTAAAACGTCTACATGTTTAAACTAAAAAATATCCTGGCAAAAATTAGGTAGAGGATCAGAGAGATTAAAAATTTAAAAAAGAATTTATTTATTTATTTTTAGAGAAGGGAAGGGAGGGGGAGAGAGAGAGGGAAACATCAATGTGTGGTTGCCTCTCATGTACTCCCTACTGGGGACCTGGCCTACAACCCAGGCATGAGCCCTAGACTGGGAATCAAACTGGCAACCCTTTGGCTCGCAAGCCAATGCTCAATCCACTGAGCTATGCCAGCCAGGGCAAATTACAAGAT